CGTGGCGGCCGTCACGACGTCACCCAGTACCAGCGTTGCCTGAATTTCGGGCACGATGTGGCAAATGCACACAAAACCACGTTACCTCTGAGTGTGTCGTCGATGAGCCGGAAACGATAAAATGCGCCAACTGTGGTGACGGTCATCATGGGTCCGACAAAAAGTGCCCCAAACGCGAGGATTTCAAGCGGATCCGAAAGCAGGTGTCAACAAAAAATCAACCAGGACGAAAGCAGGAAAACTCCGGCATTCAGGGTGGAGGACTTCCCGCCTCTTCATGCTACGCAGCACGGTCAAGTAAATCCGCGGGTGAAATTCGGCCCCCGTCAAGAAACGTCTGGTGCTTCTGCTGGACAAAGCTCTCCCCCCCCCCCCTTGGATTCTGGAGACAACCACCAGCACAAAACACCAATTCCGATCTCTTCTCTGCGGATGAGCTGACGAAGATTTTCGTCGACAAGACCAGCGCTCTCTTCGTCAGTGCCGCAACAAACCCGAACAGATCCAAGTGCTCGCTAAGTTTATCATTCAATATGGCGTCTAAACCATTAACTATCGTAACTTGGAATGCTTGCTCTGTACGAGCTAAAAAGTTCGAGCTTGCTGACTTGGGAGCAAGCACAATATCGACGTGGGCCTCCTAACAGAGACCCATATCAAATCCGGCGACAGCTTTTGGTTGCCTGATCACAACATTATCCGACTTGATCGCACTGACTCCAGGGGGTGGTGTTGCGATCATCATCAAGAAGGGGATCTTGTTTCACACCTTGTCCCACATCCGCACTTCTATCATCGAGGCCCTTAGTGTGTAGGTGGAATTGCCAATCGGAAACGTCCGGTTCATAGCCGTGTATTGTCCTCGAAAAATGAAATTCAAGAACGACCTCACCGCTATCACTCGCACGAGCTCCCGATTCATTGTTGGGGCGATCTGAATGCTCGTCACGAAGCATGGTGCAACTACCAACGGAACCAGAACGGTAGCCTACTATTCGACCACTCGCAACATGGGCATGGTGCAATTTCCGGATGAACCGACATTCATCTCTCCGGCGGGAAACCCTTCCACGGTGGACTTCTTCCTGACGAACTTCGGACTATCCAAGCCGGTGGCAATCAACGATTTAAGCTCCGACCACCAACCGGTGGTGGCTGAGGTCGGCATAAACATAGCTCCTGCTCCAATCCTACGAAAAGACTACCACCACGTAAACTGGGTCCAGTTTGGACGTGTGGTTGACCGGAACATCAACGAAAATCCGCCGCTTGACACCGTAGAGGACATCGACCGGGCTCTGGAAGGACTCCACCGAGACATGCGTTCAACAAGTTCCTGGGAGGGGTAAGTTTGTTGCTATTGATTCCCACACCCAGTTACTGATTCGCTTGAGAAATGTGCGTAGACGCCAGTTTCAGAGGACTGGAGATCTAAGCAAAAAACGTGAAATGGCCGATCTGAACAGGCAGATTGCTTCCAGAATAGACTCACTCCGAAAAGAAAGTTTCGGGCGTATTGTCCAGAATCTGGATGACCGCTCCCGTCCATTCTGGAAGGTAGCCAAGGTGCTGAAAATTCATCCCAAACCCGTTCCACCTCTCAGAGTCGGAAATGATGACGATCGGCTCATTACCCCACAAGAGAAAGCAAATGCGATTGGCAATCATATTGCTGCATCGCATTTGCTTGGCTCAAATATCCAAAGTCCGCTTGAAAATCAGGTTGCACAATGTGTACAACACTTGGATGCCTTCGCTTGTGTCGTCCCTCCGGCAGAAAATATTACAGTGGAGCAGATTTGCTCAGCGCAGATAAAACGCCAAGAACATGAAGGCCCCCGGGTTTGACGGTATATTCAACTTGGTTTTGAAGAAACTGAGCACGAAAGTGTACTCGCTTTTGACTGCTATCCTCAACAGATGCTTGTAACTGCACTACTTTCCAAGCATCTGGAAAGTAGCAAAAATCATACCAAACCGCAAGCCCGGTAAGGATCCAACATTGCCTTCAAGCTACAGACCAATCAGCCTCCTTTCAGCGCTGAGAAAATTGTTCGAGAAACTCATTCTCACCCGTTTGCTCAAGTTTGTCGAGGAGAACAACATTCTCCTAACTGAACAGTATGGGTTTAGGAAGGGGCATTCGGGTGATGAATAACATTCGAAGTAACAAAGCTGTGTCCAATTCCACAGCCATGGCATTGTTAGACGTTGAAAAAGCGTTTGACAATGTCTGGCACAACGGACTTGTGTATAAGCTTTGTAACTTCAACTTTCCAGCACATCTTGTAAAAATCACCCGAAACTACCTCCAGCAAAGGTCGTTCAAGATATCGTTGACTGGTTCCAATTCAAACACATTTTCCATCGCAGCAGGTGTTCCGCAAGGAAGTCTGTTGGGTCTTTTGCTATACAGCATCTACACTTCCGACATTCCTCCCTTGGGCAACGGTTGAGTGTTCTTCCTGTTCGCATATTTTTTTCCATATCTCAAATCTGTGTCTCTTATGCATCACGAATTAGAGCGGGCAGAACTTGTTACTGTTTTTCAGTGAATGTGAAATACATTCACTGAAAAACAGTAGTAGATTCTGTTCGCTCTGGTTCATCATACATAAGATATACGAATTTGAGTTGTTAACACAAGTTGTAGTTAATAACAGCTCTATACATCATTTTGCGGAATTCTGTTGATAAAAAAAGTTAGGGGCAAATGAATGTAAATGAATGCACGAAATGAATGCAAATGATTTTCCATGCCTGGTCGTCGATGAGTCACGCAAATTCTGTCGGAAATACGACGTAAAGCGAGAGACGAACAGCGATCTAGCAACGCCAGCCGGCTCTGATATTATGAGAATTGCATGAGCACGGAACCCAAAAACTACCTTCAATCAATAATGGTGATATTAATAAAAATCGACAGTGAGCATGCATAAGAGCGTAAACGCGATGATCGATTCTCTTCGTTGATTTTCTCTTTAGTTAATAACTCGCTAGAATTAACGTTTATCGGTGCGTTTGCTGTTGCTTTTGGTAGCCAATACAACCTGTTACACTCTGCATTGAACAAATTCTAGAAAATTGTTTCGCTTAGCTGTAGCAATGCAAAGAGAAAATCGACGAAGAGAATCGATCTTCGCGTTTACGTCCTTATGCATGCTCACTGTCGAAATTCTGTAGAGTTCCACCTTAAGCAATCTTCTGTCGACTGCATTGCACAACTTTACTGATTACCCCGACCTACGAAAACAACAAGTTATTAACTTCGATGGAGCTGCTAGACATTGAGATAAGCTCCGTCTCAAATCAAAATGAATACCAGCTTCAAGGTAATAATTTATTCCTTGATAATTGCATGAAATTCAAAAATCGAATCGCCAGAAGCAAAACTCGGATCCGCTTGGTCTTTTCTTATGTGCTGAGTGGTGCCAAACAAAGTGGTGTGTGAGGTGAAAATAGTCACCTCATTTGAAATTACTCTCGGTTTGATTTGCACGGGGAGCCTATTGGTGAGGTGGCAGAATAGGCTTCATTAATAATTCTTCTTTTTCTTAACTAATCACTCTTAGATAGGGCCAATTAGAGAACCACTTGCGCCAAAAACTGCCTCACTTACCCTACTCTGTTACTTTGTTACCCAACACCTGGGGGTCGCTCATTTGAAGCCCTTTACTTCTTAAGGTGAAAGTGACCTAGTGATCAAATAAAAATGTCAAAAATGATTTTCTCTGAGACATCATTTCGAATTGGAAAAACCTCTCGTCGTTTTGGGAAAAAATAATAAAAGGAAAACATGGACGAGAGCTTTTTGCAATATGAAATGATGTCTCAGAGAAAACTATTTTTGAAATTTCAGTTTCTGATTTGGCTTTAAAATACCTTTGAGACAAGTGCCAAAACAATGAGTATTTTTTTGCATAGGCGTCGAAAACCTCAACACGAACCTTTACCCCTCCTCACTCTAACAAAACTGCTTCCCCAGGCGACAAATCAAATTTAATTCTTCAAACCGCATTAGTGTTCGAAATTTACTACCTAGAAAATTTTAAGTGGCGAACACTGTATCGTATCACCTTAAAGAGGTGAACCAAGGCCTCTGTAATAAACTATAAACTTGATTCACAAACTTCATACGAAACTGCAAGATAATCGTATATTTTCAGAATGCATGCATGCATGCAGAAAGCTGAAAACAGCTTATTCAGGCAAAAATTTGCTTCTTCACCGGAACACTGCTTATTCAGCTTTTAATCAGCTCGAATTGTTTGTTGGGTTGTCAACTAGGACAGAACAGTATTCCCGAGCAATTCAACGCTTATTGCAAAAACTGACTGTCGTCTCTGGAGCACTATTGTATTGTTATATTTCGGAAGAATCCAGCAGCAAGAGAACTGATGTAATTTTTGTATACAGTCAACTCTCCCTTACTTGGAGTGTTCACTCGGCTGTCGACAAAAGCAGGCCACTCTCGATGTGTGCTACGCGATCGTCTGTTTTCTCGGCAGCAACCATTGTGTGGTCCTCCTCATTGTTCTTCATCAGCAGTTCTTTCGGTCGATGCGTCGTCGACTTTGGAAATCAACCGTTTCGTGATGAATGTGTGAGTGTTGACCACGTTTTGCGTCCATTGCCGCAATGGACGCGCTCTGACCCTCGTTGGCGTACAACAATTTGCCATACAATGAAACTACTAGAAGCGGCTCCAGTTCTGATGGAGGAGGCTTTTTGGATAGCGGAAGATGAAGTGTTTATTGTGTTGTACCTTTTGACTATAGTTTTAAGATGTATTGTATAGTGACCAAGAATCCTCGGCTCTGTAAAGTTAATTCGGTTGAGTCTTATCAAATAAATTAATAAATAAAAAAAAAAAAAACTAGGACAGAACACAAAATTAAAAAAAAAACACATCAAAATAAGTGATCAACAGTCAAACAAATACATCAAAATACCTACGTCAAGATATTTCAAAAAACTATACCACATTTGTGCAAACTCACCTGCATTGACGAAAATTCCTAGCCATAATAGAATAATGCAACCGATAAAGACAGTCTTGACCATTTTTGCGCTTCACAATGTACAACTCACTGCCTCTAAGATTAAAAGTTCAAGGCTTGTTCCAAGCGATCACGTTCCGTCGTCTGCACTGATCAGTCACTGAATCACTTCTGACCGTACAGGCGCATTACAGCAGGATCGCGGCTCGATCGCACGGATCTTATATATTATCAGCTCAATTTGATGTATTGTTTACACTTCCTTTTTTTCTTATTCATTTTATTATTATTGTAACAGAAGACAACTACCTCGAATCGTAATCTTAATGCGAGTCACAGATGAGGGAACCGGTTTTGCTACTAAGAATACAATGCTGAAATATTCAATTACAGCGATGGACTATCGTTGTGAATGAACACTACTTAGGATGAGAGCAAGCGCAAATTTCCAGTTGGGTCGGAAAACCCAAGACGATGACATCAGGTTGTTGCTTGAGATTCAACTAAACGACCCAGATTGTTGAGAAAATTTCCAAACCGAAACGGAAATCGAACCCCAGAATCATGTGTTTCACGATCACATGACAGTTGACTATCGAGGATTGCTACAGTCAACTGTCCGTTTCTCGATTTTCTATATTTCGAAATTCCTTTCTATCTCGATGATTTGAGCATTCCCTTCAGATTACCATACATCCAGTTCTCTCTATCTCGATCGTTCTCTATGTCGATGGTCCCTATAAAATATCCGGGAACAAATTGCTCTAGATATGGCGAAGGAAAAACCTAGTTCACTACGTTTGAAATAGCCGGCCCCCCAATGGGTGTGTGTTCAATTCTAGCCGAGGTCGGTGGGATTTTTCTGAGGCATAAAAATCTCTGGTCACGTCTTCCTTCGGAAAGGAAGTAAAGCCGTTGGCCCATGTGTGTTGAATAGGTGCGATATCATAAGCGATCGAGTTTTGCTTTGGCTACAGGATACATTAATACACTTTTTGAACCTGAAGTACTTCTAGAATCGTACTAGTAGGCTAATAAATTACTGTTCTGAATGTCGATCTCTCTCTATCTCGATGGTCCCTTCAATATCGAGAAATGGAAAGATGACATGTATATCAAATAGGTACCTGCATGCATGCTGATTCAAATAGCGGTAGTGAAGTAATGATAAGGAAACGTTCGTAGCGGAAAATCCTGCTGCTTTCAGATTAACCCACAGATTCAAAAAACCAATCACAGTAGGATGAAGAAAAAACAGTTTTGCTCAGTAGGAGAGACATGTGTGTGTGTCTACAATCCATTTCCCACTGGCCGGCAGTGCTTTTATGGAATTGTTTGCACCTACATAGATGCAAACATTTTAGCCCTGGCGATGGAAGGTGATAGCTCTACTGTACATCCAACGACCCATTTCAAGAATGCCTGTTCATACACGTACACTCTGAGGTCGCCTTCATATACAATAAGCCCCGCATGAACACATCAATATATCAATTGGATACATGTAATGCATTCACACTTCCAGAATAAATAAAAAAAAACTTTTGACGTAGAACTACATCTTTGTCGATTATACTGGGGTGCAAATCAAAAAATATGTATGGTGAAATAGTGTTAGGTTTTGAACGATTATAACTTTGTCGATTACAGATGAAATTAAAATCCAAATATGCCAATCGATAGGATATTACTGCTGAATTAGATACTTTTCCAATTTTTAATCAAAAAACTTTTGAAAAATGCGCAATTGATAATTTTATCTCTGTTTTCATGAACAAAACGTTTTTCCCAAACCCAGTCATCATAATCGAGTATCATTTGGCTGCACATCGTTCTGTTTGAACCGCTGCACAGTGGTTCAAAACCCCCCAAAACGTGCGTTTTTTATTTTTCGTTATGAAAACGACATTTTAGAAGGATAGTGTTTTCAGAAGAGTTGCAGAGTTTTCAAAGAGCTATCGTTTGGTGCTGAGATATTGCTGATCTATCCACCTAGAAGGGCAGGGCAAAATTAAAATTTTACAAACTTGCTCAAATCATGTTGGTGCAAAGTTGTAGATTGTGTCAAATGAAACAACTTTGCTTAAGACACCAACTTCGTAAAACGATTGCGTAACGAGTTAACAAACGTTTTCTTTAAATGACCACCCAAAAACAGTTTTTTTTAAATAACTTTTTTGGACGCGATTTTTTCAACAAAGTTTGTTCTAGAAAGTTATTTGCAATTACAAAACACACATTTGACCCGAAGACACTTTACCTTTCTGACCATAACTGTCAAAGTTATAAACAATATTATAGTCAAAATACGCATTTTTCACGTCGACACACCATAAAAACCGGCAAACCAAACAGTTTTCATTCGAAAGATACGCTTTCAAACTACAAAACATCATAGGTTTCATCTTGTTCTGTAATGTTCTTCTATTGATTTATCCTCATTCAAAGAGGAGCGTATTTTCCTCATACAGCATTCCGGTTTTACCTTTGGCTTTCAGTTTGCTATCCTACTAACACATTCACATCTTTATATAATACACAATGTTTACCGAGTTTATGTGAGATCTAGACAAAAATAAATTACAGTTTTTGATCAACCACGTGCTGCTTAGTTTCAGTTTGTTTGTGCTGGCAATTCGTATCGTTCAGTTTATTGTGTTAGACGATCTTTATCTTAAAATCTAAAATGGAGTCCGAAAAGATGTGCAACCTTTCAGGTACGTAAAAATAATAATATTGATACTTCCATTTTGCTGTATACCTAAAATGCAATGTAATTTGTTAACACAGAGGGTATTGATAGACGGGATCTGTTCCTTTCCTGGAAAGAAGCTAAAGGAACGTTAAAGACAAAAAGCTCTGCAGTTACATATAAAGTCATAGAATTTTATAGTATCGATACGGATCTTATGCCGGAAATTCATTCCGAGGTGTCAAAAATTACAGAAGTACTGTGCAAACAATTCAAGCGTCTTTGGATTTGACATAATCTACAACTTTGCTGAAGACACCAACATGATTTGAGCAAGTTTGTAAAATTTTATTTTGCCCTGCCCTTCTAGGTGGATAGATCAGCAATATCTCAGCACCAAACGATAGCCCTTTGAAAACTCTGCAACTCTTCTGAAGACACCATCCTTCAAAAATGTCGTTTTCATACCGAAAAATAAAAAAACGCACGTTTTGGGGGGTTTTGAACCACTGTGCGCTGCTCTTTACCGCTTCGGATGGCGTGGCATTGGGTCCTGCAAGCAGGAGCAAGTTAGCGGGTAATGTGATGTTTACATCTATGCGGATTTGCTAGCGCTAGTGTACTAACGCTGTGTAAAAAGTAGCCAGCATAATGTAAGCAGGGCATTAGAGTCTACCAGTATGTTAGTACACTAGCGCTCGCAAATAAGCACAGATGTAAACACCCCTAGAGGTGGATCACGGCATGAGCACCTTGACAACCCGCGATGGGGTCGAAGGGGACTGGCTTCAACTAGATCGAAACGCGGAAATTATTTACACAAAACACCCCCTCCCCCTCCCCCCATCCCATACACTGACAATCTAAAAGTAAACAAATTACAATCCCCCCTATTCTGCGAGTCACGTGACTCTCTCTCACCGGTGAGGTGTCAATAGTCACCTCGTGTGAGGTGACTCTCCATTTGATTTACATGGAGAGTCACCTCACACGAGGTGACAATTGTCACCTCACCGCTGACAGAGAGTCACGTGACTCGCAGAATAAGGGGGATTTACGTAAAATTCCATTAATGTTTTACCCGCTTCTGCCCAGAGAGCCAAAACATTCAAATTAGAGAACAAATTCGCTCACGATGATGATTGTGATTTATCAACAACTGACTGTAAACCATATCTGGTAGGTATCTCTATATATGCAAATCGATTAACATCCGAAGTTCATCCTTTTTACATATTCTGCACAAAAGATACTTTCTGCCCCGCCCCATTCATAAAAAAACGGCTGGAAATCCTGTCAGGGGCGGAGCTTAGAAAGTATTTTTGAGCAGAGTATGTAAAACAGGATGGATTTTGAACGTTAATCTAATTCCATATAACAGGTACCATATATGTTTTACAGTCAGTTGGATGCGAAGGATCGTCAAGCAGACGGTTCTCCAAAAGGACCCAAGACCGCTGCAGAAAGAGTTCGGTGTTATCAAGCCTTCGGTTTGTTTACAATTTCCCATGCGCGCATCAACATGATTTTCTGTATACTTTCCTAGTCACAACTTTCTTAAACAGAGAATAGAGGAAATAGATCAATTCTCATGTGATTTGAGACATCGCACAATGGATTTTGATCAAAGTCTAAAACTCGCTCCTTCCCTAGGGGTTTCCGGAAATTGACTGGATGTGGCCAGCGTGATCCCGGCTATTCCTTATAATTGCCATTGAAAAAGTTGTTGAATTTTAATGTAATTAAATGGCCACTTCTCCGGGGGATCGAAACATGGCCATGTGTGGCCAATGTGGCACTAGGCCCCCCAAATGACTACCATTTAACTAGTTTTTGAATTCTAATGTGATTTGAGGTGTCACACGATAAGTTTTATTCGTTTGAGGTCGCAATTAGCCTCATGCCTCATATAAACCGCAGCATGTTCCGGTCAATTTCCGGAACCGGTTGACCGATTCCAAAAAATATGTGCTCTATGTGACCATAATTCCTTCCATTTAGCGGCTGTTTATTGGTTTATACTTTATATAATAGGTCCAACCATGATGCATTTTTAGGTCCAACCATGATTCAAATTCATTGCTAAATGAAAACGTTCAATATAATCCTATTAGAGAACATAAAGGATAATTATTAGAAACTAGACACATTTTTCGTGTCCATATATGCATAGGAAAAATCCATTACCCTACATTAGGGCAAGTTGAAACGCGTGGGGAAGTTAAAACAGTAGATGTATCTCTTAGCGGAAGTGAATAAACACTGAAATTATTTCTAATATAGTAGTTTGCGGTAGCACATAATGCCTCTCAAAAATAATTACAGTGAATATTCATTTTCGCTAAGAGATAAACGTAATGTTTCAACTTACCCCGGTGTACCTTAACTATGATGCTTACTATCAAAACATTGAACAGGTGGAGAATCTGTATACAAGCTTTTGCTCTGACTTTGAAATTCAAGAACTGATTCCCCCTAATT